CAAAGTATTCTAGCGATAATGAGTAGCAAACTACAATATATTGAATATGTTTCCTTTCATATAATTTAGATTTATCTTTTTAAATATCTAATCTTCTATAGACTTTATTCTTGAGTCTCATCTTGGTTGATATCTTTCCACTCGTGTGATTTATATTTTCTTTGTCTTTGCTTGGTTTCTTTTACGCTGTTGTAGAATAGTTGATGGATCTATACTCTAGTCATCTTTCATTTTTTTTAATTCATCACCCTTTAAACAGTAAAAATGTCTAGAAAGTTTTGCTAAGTCCTATAAAAGAACGTATGTTATTGCATTCTACTTCTACTGGTGAATTTTACATGATATTTAAAAAAATACCGAAAATTAGCTGAACCGTACCGATACCGAAGAGAATCCAACATGATTGGGACAGTTTCAAAAAGTCTAATTCTGGTTATACATAATAGAATAATCAAAAAATTAGTATGGTATAAATTTTATAAAATAACCGGCCGAACTGAACCATTTACACCCCTACCCTTATCCCTCTAATTTCTCCTCTTATACTATTGCAAAATCTATTCACACTAAATTTTATATCAAATCAATAAATATATTGCATATAGACTTTGTTTACCTAAACATAGTTAACTAGTACTCCCTCTGGTCCACTTTAATTAATTTTTTGGGCTTTTTTTTGTGCTTCACAATATTTGATTTTTTTATATATTAAGAAAGAATTAACTTTTTTTTAAAGTTGCCCTTGAAGTAAAGAGTGTAGGAGTATTTGTTGCATTTTCAATGAACAAATTAAAGTTAATATAATCAATTTTATTATTAATTAATACTAAAAGGTAAAATTCTTAATATGTATGAAAATATCCAACAAATTAATTAAAATGGATAGGAGGGAGTAAGTATTTTTATCTCATTAAATCACTTTCTTAACTACTATTTAGAAGTGAGAGTAAGGGCCTCTTCATCGTCCTGCTTGGGATATTTGTCGGAATTCACCATCCTACTTCGGGGTTATTTTGGTAATTTAAATCTGAGTGTTGTGGGTGTTTTTGATCAACACGTGTGCGCCAGCGACAGTCGACCCATCTCTCTCTCTCTCCTGTATCCTTGTTAGATTCCCTCCGGCTTAGATATCTCTGTTTTCCTTTGTTTTCTCCGTTTAGGTTTAATATGAACACATATATATTTTTATCCTTTTTACTATTTCCTCCGGTCCACTTTAAGTGATTTTTTTAACTTTTTTTGTAATCCATAATATTTGATTTTTTCATATATTAAAAAGAAATTAACTTTTTCTTTCCAAAGTTGCCTTTGGGAGTAAAGAACATAGGAATAAGTTGTTATATTTTTAATAAGCAAACTAAGGTTAATATGATCAATTTTATTGTTAATTAATGTTAAAATATAAATTCCGTGAAAAGAGAAAAAAAATTACTTAAATGGAAAAGAACATTCAATTCTACCAAAGTATAACCGGGGGAAAGTTCCTTGGAAAAATCAATTAAAAGAACCTCTTACAAGAAATAAAGAATTAATTATGATCGAATTTTATTAATTTCTCTTTCTTCCTTTTATGAAAGACTTTTGTCAGTGGCTCACGTCTACTATTTAACTGAATATATACAGTATATGCACTGAAATATATACTCCTATCGTTTCAATTTAGATGGGATAGTCTGACTCGACATGAAGTTTAAGAAGAAAAAAAAAAGACTTTTGAAACTTGTGGTCTTAAAAGCTTAATGAGTAAAAGCTTTGTGAGGTCATGATATTTGTATGGTTATACAAAAATTTCATTAAGGGTAAATGAGTAAAATAAAAAGTTTAAAGTTGAATTATTTCCAATTGTGGAAACGTGTCATTCTTTTTTAAACGGATTAATAAGAAAAGTAAGTCATCTAAATTGAAACATAGGGAGTACATTTCTTTTAGTAGACAAAAAAGAAAAAACCTTTAGGTTTATACAAAATGATGTAAAGAGTGTGTGAGCCAAAAAACGTCTTTGATATAAGCAAGCCACGTTAGCATCAAGATAGCCTTCATCGGTTGCCACGTGCTATTAGTATGACTTTAACAAAGACCTGCCCAAGGTCGAAGTGGTCCCTTAAGAGATGAAGGATGCGGTCGAAGAGTTAGTGAAGACCAAGGTCGAGGTCGAGTATCTTAGAAAGATTTATAACGGTTAGTTTTAAGATAAGACACAAAAGAGAATATTCTAGTGGATATTTTCTATACTTATACTATTAGGATCTTTAGGTATATGTTCCCTATAAATAGAAATAGACACAATGATATGGGACAAAAGATATTCACTTTTAAGAAAATACATTGGCTTTATAAAGAGAATCTGGCTTTATTGCAAACATACGAAAAATACCTTTTTACTAAGATTCTTGTCTAACTTTTTCACTTGATCCAAGAACAACTTGAGTGCTCAAAGACTTATCAATCATTCATCATTATCAGAAGTAATATCCGCAAATCTCACCCTTTTTCGGGTGACTCATATGTTCTTATTTACTTAAATGTTATCCATTGTAGGGGTGAGCATTCGGTATTAGGAATTTCGGTTCGGTATTCGGTTTATCAATTGTGTATACCAAATACCATACCAAATTAATTCGGTATTGTTCGGTATTTTTTATTTTGGTTCGGTACGGTTTCGGTTTAAACCAAATCTTCATTGTCTTCCCTACTCCATTAACTAATGTAATCCATGTTGTTTGAGATTCCACCAGGCAATTCATTAATGGTATGGAACGCAGTTGCCTTTTGTGTAAGCTGAGAAGTCTCTATATGAATGAATGACCCATGGATTTTACCTTTGCACTAGTAACTGTATTTACTTGGTGTAGTTGAGCTACTCTTGAGTTCTTACCATAAAATATTTGCTGGAAGAAATACTTTTTCCACAATGGTTATGCAAACGGCAAAGGGCCCCTTTAACGGGGTTAATATTTGGTCTTAAGCCACGCTATGCTAAGGATAAGGGATTAAGAAATTAGGGGTTTTGGACTTTTGGGGGTGTGGGCTTAAGGTTATTGGGCTAAAAAATAAAAATAAAGTGGGGCTTGGACTAAACTATTTCGGTATTTCAGTATAACGAAATACCGAAATATCAAAAACCCAATACCGTATATCGTACCGAAATACCGAAAAAACCGAAATCGAAATACCAAATTAATTCGGTTCGGTTCGGTTCGATTCAGAATTCGATTTTTCGGATTTTATGCCCACCGATAATCCATTGTTATTTATTGTTAGTTAATGATATCTCTCTCCTTTTGAATCATTAAATATTATTAGTGTTGTCCACATTTATTGTCATTCGACCAAACATATATGTATTATTTTATTACAAAGTCGATTATCTTGTCTTTTGGATATTAATATTAGCTAAGATTAACTCTAATTCATTTAGATCTAATTGGTTGAACACGGATCTAAAGTTTGGGTCAAACAGTTTGGCGCTGTCTGTGGGGACTTCTTACCTAATCTTTTAGTTTTCTTTAGATCTACAACTCATGTGAGTTGCTAACCTAACGAACCACAAGATTTTTTTCTTTAATTGCACGTACCGAAACTTACATGGCAGGTAACCAAGGAGATAGGACTAAAGTGACATGTGACTTCCCTGGCAACCTCATGAACGCTATTAACGAGAGCTATGAAATGTTAGGCGATGACGTGACACCCACTCCCTCCCCCAAGCGTGAGAGGTCGCTTCCCCCCATTGTAGCACAATAAAGCCAAATGAAAAAAGACCCTCCACGTCCACAAGATAAGGGACGCCACCGGCCATGAAAAAGCTCCTCGAAGCATGGTTGACCGATACACTAGTAAGCGTGCTCAACAAACCTGCTTCATGCACGACCATAGAGACCGTAAGAGCCCACACCGTGCAACGAGCAAACGAGCAGGGCGACCAACCAGACCCTCCAACACCAGGTATAACTCATAATGTTACTAAAAATGCAGGTGACAACATCCTCGTCGTTGTTCTAAAGAGGATGGAAGAAATAAAGAATGAAAACAAAACGCTCAGAGATCAAATGAAAGAACATCAAGAACGAGTCGACAAGATACCAGGCGCCCCTAAGCTACTACCAAAGAGGGACGTCGACAGATTCATAGAGCAGCCGTATAGCGAGGAAGCAGCCCCACATGCCATACCAAAGACCTTTAAAATGTCGTCGTATCTCAGGATATATGACGGAACGACTGACCACGAAGATCACGTGACTGATTACGTCACCGTCGTGAAGGGAAATGACCTCACCAAGGAACAAATGTCCTCTATTTTGCTGAAGAAATTTGGCGAAACCCTCACAAGAGGGGCATTAACATGGTATTCACAACTACCAGCCCGATCCATAGAAACCTTCGAAGAAATGGCTGATAGGTTCATGATGGCGCATGTCTAGCCCAAGAGAGCCGAAACAAGAGTAAACGACATTTTCGCCATCAAGCAGTCCTTGGGAGAGAGACTGCGGGACTTTCTCACCCAATTTAACAGGGTAAGGATAACCCCGCCAAACGTTTTTGAAGGGATGGTAGTCACGAGCTTTTAGAATGGGTTGAGTAGAGAGGGTTCAAGAGCGACCAAAAAATTGCTGAGACGATTGATGAAGTACCCTCCAATCACTTGGGATGAAATCCACAATACTTACTATGCCGAAGACCGAGCAAATGATGACGACCTCAATGGACCAACTCGATGGCTCGTCTCGGTACAAGCCGAGCCCAGTAAAGAACTAAGAGATAACATAAGGAGGGATCACCTGGTCCCACGACCAAATAGGGAACTATATCAGCCATACATCAGGTAACACGCCTCGTCTTCCTTCCGCTATGTTGATGGCCCATCTAGGCTGAGGTCGGGGACTCACCGGAATGAGAGAGGTATATGCCCCTTATTGTTTGCTCACAACTTTTATGTGTCACCTACATAAATAGTCTATGCCTTGGAGAAACTCGGAACGAAGGTGAAATGGCCGCCAAAGATGAGGTCTGACCCGAGCACCAGAAAATCCGACGCCCTCTGTGAATTCCACCAGGAAAGCGGACACAATACGGAAGAATGCATCGCCCTCAGGCAAGAGGTTGTGAACATGTTGCGGCAAGGACACCTCAAAGAGCTGTTGAGCGATAAAGAAAGAAACAATTTCGCCAGAGGTCGTGAACGCCAAGGTCTGCCTAAGCTGCCATCACTGGCTCGCACCATCAACATGTTCATTGGCGACAACGACAACGCCTCCATCAACAACGTTAAATTCACTGCCACTCACAAGCTCAAAAGATCTATCACCCATGAGCGATATGACATACTCGAAGAAAGTATCATCTTCGACGAGTCAAATGCCAACAGTTTGACTTCCCCTCACAACGATGCTCTCGTCATTACTTTACGAATTTTAGATACTAATGTAAAACGTATCATGGTAGACGATGGGAGGGGAGCATGCATTATCCATCCCTGAGTCCTCGCCCAGATGAGACTCGAGGACAAGATAGTGTCGCGCTGCATCACACTAACCGGTTTTAAAAATATAGTTGAACGGACATTGGGCGAAATTACACTCCCCGTCTTGGCTGGCAACATAACCCTGGAGACAACGTTCGACATCATGGACCAGGCCACCACATAAAATGCCATAGTAGTAAGACCACAGATACATCCCATGAGAGTTGTCCCTTCCAGCCTATACCAAGTAATCAAGTTCCCAACACCTTGGGGGATATTCAACATACTGGGAGAACATTACACATCCCAGGAGTGATACCGCATTGCCTTAGATAGCATGACAATCCAACAAACGAAAGACAAGGAAAAAGAGGCATAACAATCAACAGGGTCTAGGTCGACGCAAGAAGAAACTAGAGACGTCATCATGGACCCCCTAATGGTCAAAGCCACGGACTCAACTATAGAAGACCTCGACCCCGTTCAATTAGAGCCCAGCGACTCCACCAAAAAGGCCTACATCGGCTGCAAACTTCGAGAACCGAGTAAATTTAGCTAATTTTTAATAACTAATACGGATTTTTTTCCCTTCAGCCATGCAGATATGCCGGGAATACCCAAGGAGATATCCACACACAAATTAAACGACTATCCATTCTATCCCCCGGTAAGGCAGGTCAGACGAAAATTCAACCATGCCATCAATGATGTCGCCCACGAGGAAGTGGAGAAGCTATTAGAAAATGACTTTATCAAGGAGTCAAAATACCCCAAGTCGATAGCCAAGGTAGTGATGGTCAAAAAGAAAAAAATGGGAAATGGAGGATATATGTAGACTTCACAGATTTAAACAAAAGCAATCCCGAAGGATTCGTTCCAATTTCCACATATCGATCAACTCATCAATGCGACCGCCGGACAAGAGTTGCTGAATTTTCTAGATGCGTACTAGGGCTATAATCAGATACTTATGGAAGAAGAGGACCGTGAGAAAACCATGTTCATCACCCTCTGAGGAACATATTGTTATAGGGTTATGTCATTTGGGCTGAAGAACGCAAGAGCTACCTATCAAAGATTGGTCACAAAAATGTTCAAAGATCAGATTAGCAAGACCATGAAGGTATATATCGACGACATACTGGTCAAATCCGTAAGGGCGGAGGACCATATCGATCATTTGAAAGAAGCTTTCGACATTATGAGACGACACAAAATGAACTAAACCTAGAGAAATGCGCGTTTAACGTAGCCTCGGGGAAGTTTTTGGATTTCTTAGTGTCACAACGAGGGATCGAAGTTAACCTGAACCAAATCAAAGTTATCAACGGGATACCGGAGCAACTGACTACTAAGAAGAAAGTCCAAACATTAACTGTTGAATCGCCACCCTATCGAGATTTATCTCGCGGTCATCCGATAGATGTCACAGATTTTTTGGAGTACTCAAAAAGGATAACAGCCTTAAGTGGACATTCGGTTGCATACAAGCTCTGCGAGAGCTAAAGGCATATCTGTCGTCACCACCTCTACTCTCAAAGCTCGAACCCGTAGAACACCTCCTCGTCTACCTTGTCATTTTCGAAGTGGCAGTAAGTGCAGTACTGATCCGAGAAAGTAAAGGTACGCAATCTCCCATTTATTACATTAGCAAAACACTCGTCGACGCAGAGACAAGGTACCTACACCTCGAGAAACTGGCCCTAACACTTGTCGTAGATTCACGAAAGCTTAGACCTTATTTCCAGTGCCACCTTATCTCGGTCGTTACCACCTTTCCTCTAAGAAGCATTTTACGTAAACCCAAATTATTGGGGAGGCTGACCAAGTGGGCCATCAAGCTAAGTGAGCACAATATCACATATCAGCAGTGGCCATCGATAAAGTCACAAGTGCTCGCCGACTTCATCGCAAACTTCAGCGCAAAGATAATGTCTGAGGTCAAGAAGGAAGCCATCCAAGATTCTCTCCAAACACAAGACCTATGGGTCCTATACACCGAAAGTGCATCCAATGCTTCCAGACTACCTCCTCTGTGTTCACCAATAAGTCACGATCCATCGGGATCGTGATAGTCCTCGAACCCCCCTCCAACCTCACCTCGAGCTGGGTGAGCCCCTTGTCGATCATTCTGAGGTCATCCAAATCGACATCAGAACCTGACTCATCTCCATCTTCAGCAACATTCTTCCCCCTATCATCATTAGGCGAAGAAGCATCCACGACTGTTCGGGAGGTTGAAGCCTCCTCTTGTCGCGGAAGTGCATGGCTGCCAGCAGCAGCCACCTCCTCGGTCTCTCTCCCCTAGGAATATAGGGACATGACTTCATTAACTTCTACCGGCCTCGGGTATTCAAGACTCGGTTCAACATCATTTACAAAAATTGTCGTTGTCTCACATAACGTGAAATCCCCTTCCGCATCATTAACGGTTGAAGGGACTCCCTTACCCACGTCCACAGACCTTCTTTTTAGAGGTTGAAGATCCCCGTCACTGGGTGAGTGTTCATCATTCTCGTTAATAAGTGAAAATAGGTGAGGAGCGGAAGTCACAACAGTCAAAACATGGATGGGGCCAGAAGCGGCGACGGTTGGAATTGTGACGAAGGCAGGAGTGGCAATGGTTGAGATGGGGCCAGAGACTGAAGACATAGTGGCCCTCCTCTTCGAGAACGAAGGTACGGGGACCCTCGACCTCCTCGCAGCCCCTCTGATCGAACTTAGAGAAAAATTGAAAAGGAAGGAATCAACATAAGGGACAAACATAGACGGAAGAACCACAATGCCAACGATAAGGAAGAGACTAACTGCCGAAGGAAGAGACAACTTGAATTTCTGAGAGAAACTCGACCAGTCACGTATCCCCGCCGTATGAGGAAGGATTTGTCTGACCCAATCAGCAATATGGGTCACCATCTGGAGAGGTCGAATAGTAGCTGCAGAAAAGAAAGAGCTGATTAACCAACCCACAACAAAATGTTAAATAGAAAACGTAAACAAACACGAGTACTCTACAGTAAGGAGAGTTTCCTCCTCAACAACAACTCCGTTGTCTTCCCCCTGATCAGGGAAAACGACGTCTAAAGGGATAGAATGATCTTCCATATGGATATCAGATGGGAGGTTCGGCATTGTTGTAGAGAGAGATAAGGAAGTAGAGAAAGCAACAGAGAAGCGATAAAGTTCTACAAGGGGGAGAAGGAGTTCTGCTTAGGAAATAGAAGGAGTGTGGGAAAAATTTCAAAATCAACAAACCCCAAATTTATAAGATTTGGGGGCACCAGAATCGAAAGGACTGATCATGATTAGCACAAAGATCAAAACGGCGAAACCAATCAAGGGCTATACGAGAATCGATGCAATACGTCGGAAAACGACGTCATCATGACGCATGACGTCATGACTTCACTCTTTCTCTTGAACCAGATGGCTCCAACAAATTATCTAGAAAATTTAAGGAATTTGAAATACGCGACCCGCAGAGAGCCACGTTACCTGATCACTAATGACCACGACCCGTATAGTCTGCTCGATAAGCTCGATCACAAACTACATTATCCGCTCATCGAACTAACCCGCGAGGACAACCTCAACAAGCGAAGGGACTAACTTTATGGGCCAAAAAATGCCTTTGATATAAGCAAGCCACGTCAGCATCAAGATAGCCTTCATCGGCTACCACGTGCTATCAGTACGACTTCAACAAAGACTTGCACAAGACCGAAGTGGTCCCATAAGATATAAAGGATGCAGTCGAAGAGTCAGTGAAGACCAAGGTCGAAGTCGAGCATCTTAGACAGAGTTATAACAACCAGTTTTAGGATAAGACACCAAAGAGAATATTCTAGTGAATATTCTCTGTACTTGTACTATTAGGATTTTAGATATATGTTCCCTATAAATAGAAAGAGACATAGTGATAGGGGACATAATATATTTACTTGTAAGAAAACACATTAACTTTATAGAGAGAATCTGGTCTTATTGCAAACATACGAAAAATACCTTTTTACTAAGATTCTTGTCTAACTTTTTCACTTGATCCAAGAACAACCTGAGTGTTCAAAGGCTCATCAATCATTCATCATTGTCAGAAGAAATATCCACAAATCTTACCCCTTTACGGGTGACTCATATGTTCTTATTTACTTAAATGTCATCCATTATTATTTATTGTTAGTTAATGTTATCTCCCTTCTTTTGAGTCATTAAATATTGTTAGTGTTGTCCATATTTATTGTCATTCGACCAAATATACATGTATTATATCATTACAAAATCGGTTATCTAGTCTTTTGGATATTAATATTATCTAAGATTGACTGTACTTTATTTAAATCTAATTTGTTGAACCCGAATCTAAATTTTGGGTCAAACAGAAAGGATCGAAAATGTTAAAACTATAAGTCTACAATTACATTCCTCTATGAAATGATTTGAAACTCGCAAGAAAATGTTAACATAATTTCGAATAAGGTTACTTGTAAAAGTTTTTGCTATCCTTTTGACATTAAGCATTTTAGCTTTTTCGAGTCAAGAATTGATTTCATTTGATGTAGTAGATATATTGTAGTTTATTTGAGGAACAGTTACACTTTATATCGCCTCGACCCAGTCCTATAACCAAAAAGAGCCCATATTTTGGGATTTTACTTGTTGGAGCCCATATTATATATATCTTGAAATAAAAGCTTCATTGTTTAACCCAAACAATCTTCACTCGTCTCCCATCTTCTCCTCTTATCTCCACTCCAGTGGCCACCTCCTCTAAGTTTGTTAAAAAGTCAAGATTTTGATATTCAAACCAAAAATTAATTTGAGAGAGTTAGAAGCTTTTCAGATCTAAAATTTATGAAAGAATCATGCTCAAATTCGAGTGGGTGCCATTGAAATTAACTAATAATAATCCGAAAAGCTTCAACCTGAAGATTTGGCTAAGTTGGACTAGTTTTCAACTCTTTGAGAACGAGTTTGGTGAGGTAAAATCGGGAAAAGTCGAACTGGGTTCTTGATTTT